TATTTTAAATTAAATTATAATATTAAAAAATGATTTTAATTTTATTATTAATATTATGTAAATTATTTTAATTAAATAAAATTTATTTTTATTTTAAAATATTAATTAATGTCAAAAATATTAATTATACTTCTAATTTATAATCTAAACATTTACCTTTTTATGAATTAATAATATTATGATTATAATATTATATAAAATTTATAATTTTATATAATGAGTAATATATAATATTAAATGTTAAAATGTATATAATATGATGAGTGAACTCTTAAATAAAATATCAAATTAAAACTTTATAATATTACATGATATTTAACTACAACATTTTTATTTATAAATTAAGAGAAATATTTTAAAAAATATATTATATAATTTAAATTATATCACATTACATAATTATAATTACTAAATTTAAATATATTACAAAATTTTACCTTATTTAATAATTTATATTTTATAATAATTTAATATATGACTCCAATGTAAACAAAAAAAATAAAAGAACTCAATTGAAAATATTTATAAATTTTAGAGAACTGCCCACTTGCTATAAGATTCTATGACAACTGTCTAAAAAAAACTAAAAACAAAAACAAAAACAAAAACAATGCGAAACACAATTCCAACGTGAATCAAAGACAGAACACTACTGGTCAAAAAAAAAAAAGAAAAAAAGACAGAACACTAAAATTCCTCCAACTAATAATTAGTATTAATTAATTAAGGAAGAAAAAAAAAAAGTAGGCCCTGACCAAGTCGACACAATACATTACTCAGTCAAAATAAACACAACGCGTTGAATTGAACCTCTTTCTGTGTATGTCACTCAGCCGACTTCAAACCTAACTTCCCACCGCCTTCCTGGTAAAATATCTCAGCCCTTCAAAGTTCAAACCCACCTTTATATAAACCACCGTTCTTGCTCCTTGTTCCAACAACGAACGATCTCAGTCTAGGAACCTCCAAGGTCTTCCCTTTTTGCAGTTTTTAAACGTGGGTCAATTTTGTATTTTGCTTTCGGAGTCATGGGGTCTGAAGATTCTGAGACGAATTTGAAGCCTGTTGTGATTCGAGAAGTTTGGTCCAGTAATCTGGAGGCGGAGTTCGAGTTGATGCGTGAAGTGATTGATCGTTTCCCTTTTATCTCCATGGATACGGAATTTCCAGGGCTGGTTTTTAAATCAACGGGGCCGTATAATCGCGAAACACGGCAGTACGATCACTACAAGATGCTAAAATCCAACGTTGACGTGTTGAACCTCATCCAAGTGGGTCTTACCTTCTCCGATGCTTCCGGTAATCTTCCAGATCTGGGCACGGAGACCCAATTCATATGGGAATTCAACTTCTCCGACTTTGACGTCGCCCGCGACTCTCACGCCCCCGACGCTATCGACCTGTTGAGACGACAAGGGATTGATTTTGAGAGGAACAGAGAAGAGGGTATCGACTCGTTCCGGTTCGCTGAGTTGATGATGTCATCGGGCTTGGTGTGCAACGACTCAGTGAGTTGGGTCACGTTCCACAGCGCCTACGATTTCGGTTACCTGGTGAAAATCCTAACCCGGCGGGCTTTACCGGAGGAGTTGGAGGGGTTTCTGAGCCTTCTCCGGGTCTTGTTCGGGGACAATGTTTATGATCTGAAGCACATGATACGGTTCTGCGAGAGCTTGTACGGTGGGTTGGATCGAGTCGCCCGGACACTCGACGTGAGTCGAGCGGTTGGGAAGTGCCACCAGGCCGGGTCGGATTCGCTGTTGACATGGCACGCGTTTCAAAAGATGAGAGATGTTTATTTTGTAAAGGACGGGCCGGAAAAGCATGCCGGCGTCTTGTATGGTTTAGAAGTATATTAACGTTTTGTTAATTGTAATTCAATAATAACAAAATCCTATTTAATTGATTTGTGAAGATCAAGTTGTATATTGATTGTTTTATACTCCTACAAAGTTTCAGGCAATATTCCAAGATTTCACGGTGCTTTTTTTCCCAACATGTATCTACCTGTTTCCAATAGGTTACTTCTAACACAAAAGTTCCATTAGGAGAAGGGACTACAGAATGAAGGAAAAGGTTAAATCTCCAATATGATTTCTCAACTATTATATAGACTTTTTAAGTTAATTTTTTGAATTAAAAAAATTTTAAAATTTTAAATTTGATTCTTAAAATTTTTAAATTTTACTCTAAATTAGTTTTTTCCTTAAAAAATAGTTATCGTATCTGCTATTTTGATTATAAGAGATTCATAATAGGTGTCTTTTATTCAATAATTGATTTTTTATTGATGTTTTGTATAGGGATGGCAATGGGTCCCATGGAGGTGGAGACTCCCCCGTCCCCCATTTTTGCCAATGATAAGTACAGGAATTCTCATGGGGATTTTTTACGAAAGGTAAGAAATAACTTCCATCCCCATACTCATGGGGAATGATAAATCCCTGTGGTTATTCGAAATCCCCATCAATTAAAACTATCATATATTCCGGTACTCTAAATCATAAGCACTAAAGCACAAAAACTATAGTTTCAAAAACTACAGCTAATTGATACTTGGAGGTTGGCATTGGAAAGTTTGAGAATTAGAGGTAGAGTTGCAGAGGAAGAAGGATGACCTAAGTTGAAGGTGAGTGATGACCCATGAGTGGAGTGGAGGCAACTCAAGCAATAGCTCGCCATTGTCGATTTCAAAGGTAGTGATAGCACGGTGAGATATTGATCTTGAAGGGAATCATAGATGAGATGAGGAGTTAAGGACAGAGGATTGAGCAAACAAAAAGAGTTATAGTGCAGAGCAACATAAGAGACTGGAGATTGGAGGATTGAGGAATCGCAAGCGACAAGCAAATCTGAAATCTTTGGCTTTGAATAGTCTTTCTAGGGTTATCAATTTAATTGGGCTAGGCAATTATGAGGTTTAAGAAGATTGGATTTACAAAAAGAATGGGCTAGGTAAGACAATTTGGGTTTGGAAAATTGAAAAAAGAATGGGTTGTGAAATTTAAGTTGTATTAGTATTGAGTTAGCTAATTAAATTCGGTAAGTAAAAATTAATTGTTAGTATATTTACAAAAATTATATATATATAAATAAATAAATATTTTTTATTTTATACGATTCCCCATGATTCCCACGAGGTGGTTCCTTACGAAATCTCATGAGAAAAAAAATGCCTCCACCCTCGCTCCATGAAAAAGAGTAGTTTTAGAATCTCCGCAAAGCTCCACGGGTTGCGGAACAAATTGTCATCCCTAGTTTTGTAGTTTGGTATTTTTCTGGGAAAAAAAAATGAAGTCAGAGGAAAAAGACGCAGCTATTTTTGGGGCTATTGTGTTGGTTTGTACGCTGCTAAGAGGATTTTTGGGTTTCCTTTTACTCTTCTCATGGGCTGGGCTCTTTCTGGTAGGTAGGCTTGTAAAGGCCCTCTAGGTGTTTGTTTATTTGTATTTGAGAGAGCCTGCAGGCCCTACGACAAGACAATAACCCAAACCAAAGTGTCTTTTTTTTTTCCTTTTTCTTTTTCTTTTTAATTCACATTTATACTTTGTAGTTTGAATAAATAATTAATGATGGTGACAAACCATATCCATATGGATCAATAATTTGGACCATCAACAGTTTTGGAAAGTGCTATGCAACTGCGGGTCATGACCAAAGCCAACAGGTCTGTAAGGAGGCCATCTCTGTCTGGTTGGTTAATTGAACTGACAACATTTATAGAATTCACGATATATAAACCCAAAAGAAAGAAAAAAAAAAAAGATTTCTTAATTTTGAAATGAAGCAAATAGATACGGAAGCAAAGAAACAATGATTTGCCTTGGAATGGATCAAACAATGATTTCCCTTGGAATGGATTATATGCTGAAAATGAAATTTGGGAAATATTTTACAACTAATTAGTTAATTAATTCACAAGGTTCGTCACAGCATTGCCAAGAACTAAAATTTGATTAACGAGATAGTTAATGTAAATATTAGATGCAATATCACACATACAAACACACTTAAAGAAAACCTAAACAATTATGACTAATGTAAATTACATACTGTAATTTAGATGTACTAAACAAAAAATAATGATTGTTCTTTACGTAATAGATATAATAGATGGAGTAATAACACTTTATTTCATAAAAAGAAACATCATTGGGGTTTATTGTATTTAACCTTCAATTTCCTCTCTCTCACCCCTTATTAAAAA